GAGAGGTCAGGAATTAAGGACGCCAAGATAAACAGATTCCGAAGTTTAAAAAAAGCAACTAAAGATAATTGAAATGTCTAACTTCTAAAGGCTAATACACTGCATGAAACTACAGAGTTTTTGGCCAAAATGGGATTTCCTACAGAAGGGCCTCACAGATTTCAGTGACAGTGGTCCTGGAAGCGCCCAGGACAACAGCTGACGCGTTACCGGAGTCTCTGGAAGGCTTAAAGGTAGACGCTTACACCTCCCCGACAGATATGCTGGGGCTCGGCCGTCGGGACGGAGGCGGCAGGGCCCGCTCCCTAGGAAAGGCGAACAGGGGGTGGGGCCGCACCGGGATTTTCCTCCCCTACTCATTCATTCTCTGATTCACTCGTTCCTGGAGGCGGTTCACGGAGACGCGCGGAGGAAAGGCGGGGTCGGGAGCACAGCCCCGGCAGGGTGCGGTTCGCCGCCTGGAGGGAGGCGCGCGGGGGGCGAGGGGGCGCCTGCGGGCGGGGCGGGCGCGGCGGCCTGCGCCGGAAGTGAGGGGTTGGCGGCGCACGGGGGGAGCGCGCGGCCCGGCGCGAGACGGTCCTCCCGTCGGCCGCCTGTCCCTCGGCCCCGCCTTCTGCGTCTCGGCCGCGGGCGGCTGCGCCCGGCTCCGCCGCCGCGGGGCGCCGTGACCGCCCCGCCCTCGCCGCTGCCGCCGCCGCCGGGTCAGTCAGTCAGTCAGTCAGTCAGTCACGGAGCGCGCGGCGCGGGAGCAGCCGGCGCTCGCTGCGTGTCCGGGAGGGAGCGCGGCGCCTGGGGAGGAGGCGGAGGCAGCTGCTCGAGGAGCGTGAGCCGCAGCTGCCCTGCTCGGGGCCACGACGGTAGTCAGAGCAGCCGGAGGGCCAAGCTGCCGCCGCGGTGAGTGCTCAGCTTCGCCCTCGGGGCCAGGGGATGGAGCTGGGCGGTCGCGGAGCGATGAGGCGCTCCCGCCTCCATTTTCCCGGCGCCTGGCCCCGCCATCCAGGCGCGGTGCGGGCGGCCGCAGCCTGGGGCGGGGTCGCTGCGGGGCTCGGGCTCTGGCCGAGGCCGGCTGGACCGCCCCGGGCGAAGCGGCCGGCCAGTGGGTGGGGGTCGATGGGCCTGACTGCACCCTACACCCCTGGGAACCGTGACTGAGGGAAACAATGAGATATGGGGCCGCCTGGGGAGGGTGCGGTTGAGCTTCTCCGACCCGGCACCGAGGGCTGGTGGCCGGGACCGCGGGGAGGAAAAGAGTCTCCCCCGACTAGCCGCAGAAACCACAGTCTCTCTGTCGGGTTGCTCAGGTTTCCATGCGCCCCATCTTTCAGGGACGAGTTCAGTGCAGGGATTTAGCAAGGCGGGGCGCCTTCTGTGTCTTCTTTCTAATTAAGCTGGCTGAGTAATTGCTCCATTGCTTTTTAGCTCCATGTCATCTTTCCGTGTGTTATGTACCTTCCCGCCGGAAATACAAACTGCAGTTCATTGCGGGGGGGGGGGGG